TCCTATCCCCCCACCTCTGCCAGTGCCCCCCACTCCCGACCTGCAGCCCATCCTATCCCTCCAGGCACCAGCGCAGCAAGCAGGTGCCTGTGGCAGCCAAGGGGAAGGGGCGGCACATCCGGCTCTTCAGCGGGAAGTCCCTCAGTCCCTCTCAGACTTGGGGTGGCAAAACCCCTGGAGCATTAGCCCCAGTCCAGCTGACTCTCCGCCATCGCCCCAGATCTGTTCCGGAGTCGCTGCTCCCCAGGGGAGACCCCCCCTCTGCTGACGTTAGCTGGGAGGGTTTGATGTTCCCGTTCCAGACACTGATCCCAGCAGTAACTAGCGCAGAGCATGACCCGATCCCCGCGGGACCCCACTGGAGACCCCCGCCCACTTGAGGATGAGTCCCTGTTTACAGGTTGTGACGAAGTGGGACTGTTCTTAATGTTTCCTCTGAATACTGTGTGGGTGCCTCAGTTTCCCCTATGCATTTCTTAAGTCTCTAGGTGGTGGGATAAAGGCCAGTGTGCATCAATGGCCAACACTCTGTCTCCTGGCAACAAATGGCCGGGGCCCTTCCCACTTGCAAGGGAATAGCTAAAGGTGAACAAAGAGATCAGGTGACCTCCTGGCCCGGGAAAGAGACAAAGCCCAGAGGAGGAGAGGCTGGAGGGTTTCAGTTTGGATCTGGCTGGGGACGGGGAGTGAGGGCAGACGGGGTTGTTTGGCTCGCTGGGCCCCAGGATGGACCCGGCCGAGGGGTCCCGTTCGCTGGACCTACAAGCTCTGTTTTAGACCGTGTTCCTGTCGTCTAATAAACCTCTGTGTTACTGGCTGGCCGAGAGTCACGTCTGACTGCGAAGTGGGGGTGCAGGACCCTCTGGCTGCCCCAGGACCTGCCAGGGCGGACTCGCTGTGGGAAGCGCACGGAGGGGCATATGCTGAAAGCTCCAAGGTCAGACCCAGGAGGTGAAGCCGTGTGAGCTGCTTGCCCTGAAGACTGTCTGCTCCGAGGGAGAGGAGGCTCCCCAGAGTCCTGACTGGCTTTGTGGGGAGCAGGTCCAGAGCATCGCCCGGGGACTCCGGGACACAGGTGCGCTCCAATGCCCTTGGGCTTCACCTGACCCACAGGCTGGCTTGGGGGCCTGACTCCTCTGGGCATGCCCAGTGCTGGGGCAGCAGCCTGCTGAGAGGGACCCAGGAGTCCTAGCTGCTGCCCCCTATGCACACCCGCACTCCAGTGTTAGAAAAGGTGGGGCCGGGACTCAGGACTCCTGGGTTCTCTCCCTGGCTCTGGGAGGGGAGTGGGGTCTAGTGGTTAGAGGGGGAGGGCTGGGAGCCAGGACTCCTGGGTTCTATCCCCAGCACTGGGAGGGGAGTGGGGTCTAGTGGTTAGAGGGGGAGGGCTGGGAGCCAGGACTCCTGGGTTCTATCCCCAGCACTGGGAGGGGAGGGGGTCTAGTGGTTAGAGGGGGAGGGCTGGGAGCCAGGACTCCTGGGTTCTACCCCTGGTTTTGGGAGGGGAGTGGGACTCTGGGTTCCATTGGGGACCCTCTTTGGCTGGATATTGGGGCAGGTCTCTGGGTTCTCTCTGTCTGGGCTGCCGGGAGGGATGGAGACGTGGGCTATCCCCATCTCTGGTGCTGGTAGACGGCTGTCCCTGCTGCATGGCCGGCTCCCTGCAATCTCTGTCAAATCAAGGCTTGGACTTACCTGCCCCCAGCTCCTGGTGGGGAAGGGGGACGCCATGGGCCCGGGAGCTGTGGTTGGAGGTAGACCAGAGCTTGTTCCTCTCAGCGCTGTCTGCAGTCCTGGGGTTGTGCAGGCTGTGCAGGCAGCGTGGAAGATAAGAAGTTGAGTAACGCCAGGGCACTGGCAGAAAGCGATTAGATGCGCCCCTTCTGGGGGGGAGCGTTGTCCCCGCCCCAGGAGAGCAGAGCAAGGCAGGGCTGGGAGCGGGAAATCTCAGGTGTGGACGTGTGACGGTGCTGCCCGGGGGAGCCAGCTGAGGTCACTCCATTAGGGTGAACTGCAAACAAAACAGGGCAGACAAACCCCAGACGCTGGTGGATATTCCAATACTTAGATTTACCAGCCAGCCCAAAACAGTTTCTATAGGACCTCCCTGGTTACTCAGACGTCCAAACAACACAGTTCCCTTAAAGTGCCCGGCCTCAGGCCTCCATCCAGACACACCTGTCAGATGTGATGTTAATTACTGAAAATCTGATCTCATCATATAAAAGAAAAGGTTCTTCCAACCCCAAAGGATCAGCCACACACCCAGGTTCAATTACAACTTAGATCTTACCCAAAATACTCGCTATAGCCAATTCTTATTAACTAAGCTAAAATGTATTAAAAAAGAAAAGAGAGAGAGTTGGTTAAAAGATCAGTGTACAGACAGACTTGAATTCAATGCTTGAGGTTCAGACACAGCAGAGATGAGCTTGTAGTTGCCAAAAGTCCTTTTAGAAATAGTCCAGAGGTTATAGTCCCATGTCCATATTCACGGTGGCTCCAGTCAGTGACTGGGGATCTCAATCCTTGTGGTTTAAGGTTTCCCCCTCTTGAAACCCAAAGCAGATCTGAGATGAAGCAGGATCGTGTCCCAGGGTTTTTATACATTTCCAGCAGCCTTTTGGCCTGAGAAAACAATAGGCCTAACTCTCCTTCTCCCAAACATCCTGGCAATTAGCACAGGGTCATTTATTCATTGAACAGTTCAGATCCAGGTCACCACAACCTTCAAAGAGACAGAGAGACAATAATACTATTTCCCTCAAGTGTCTTCCTAAATGTTAATATTCCTTTTTTGATCTTTGAATCAAAGTGATAGCAATAGACAAGACTTGTTTGCTTCCATCGCAAGCCCTGAGCAAACATCTCCCCTTGAGATCTCTAACAATGCCGGCTGCATTTCAAAGCTCTATTCCTAACCAGTCCTTAAGGTTCACCCATGGGTCAGGTCAGTCTGAGTTAATTAACTCTTTCTGGTCCTGTTACCTGCCAGTGAAATATTCTATTACACTCATAACGTCACAAGAGGACGGGGGGAGGGCTCAGCATGGGCAGTCCCAAGCTGATGTCTCCTGAAGGGGGCTGGGTGGGGGTAGGGGTGATGGGCACCTGGGGGGCTGGATCTCCTGGGTCTCCTACGTCCTCCGCAGGTGTAGAGGTCTCTGACGGACGAGGAACCAGGATGCTGGGGGAAAAGGGGAGCAGCATGCGCCTCTAGGGGCTGGTGCACAGGGCGGATAACAGCTACACTAGCGCTGCCAGCAAATGGAGCTACTCCTTTAGCTCCTCATAGGGGATAATGGCTATACTGGTGCCGCTGGTTTGGGGGCAGGGATGGTCTCCTGCAATGCATCTGTGCAGCGCCTGGCGCAGTGGGGCCCCGATCCTGAGCAGGGGCCCAACTGCAACACAAGTGCCTCTTGACGGCCATGGCTGGGCCTGGCAGCGCCTTGTGGCCTTGGCTTGGATTTCCCTTGACGAAGCGTCTTAATTGATGCTGCGTCGTTGTGTCTCTTCTGGCGCCGCGTAGCGCCGGGGGCTTGTGGCTGAGGCGCCTGGGACTCAGGACTCCTGGGTTCTGTTCCCGGCTCTGCCGCAGACTCCCTGTGAGAAACCGGCCATGTTACTGCCATCCCCCCCGCCTCGGTTTCCCCATCTGTGCAAGCAGCTCACGGTGTATATTTCACAGTAAGGTGCCACCTAGAGATCTGGTCTGAGCTCAGGGCCCTGTTGTGCCAGGGGCTGCAGAGACAGTCCCTGCCCAGAGAGCGCCCAGTCTCAATAGGCAAAGGCTGGAAGGGGAAACCGAGGCAGCAAGAGGGGAAGAGACTTGGCCAAGGTCACACAATAGGTTGGTGGTAGAGGTGGGGAGAGAACCCAGGAGTCCTGGTTCCCAGGCCCCCCTGTTCTAACCACTAGACTCCCCTCCCCTCCCAGAGCCAGGGAGAGAACCCAGGAGTCCTGGTTCCCAGCCCTATGTCCTTACTCACTAGATCACATTGCTTGTCTAGCTAAATTGCCCCCTCTCCTCAGCCCATTGTCCCCCCACTGGCCAGAACCGGCTGGCTTCCAAGGTGGGGGGGCCTCCTGGTCACCAGTCGCTGGTCCCCCATCTCCAGGCCATTGTCCAGGTCCTGACTGCTAGGCAACGTCACACCTGGTCCCCTGCAACAAGAACCCTCCTCTCCCTTCCCCTTTACACACACAGCACACAGGGAAACTGAGGCACACACCGTGCTCATGCAAAGCTCTAAGAAAATCCCTCACTTCATCACAAACACACACACACACAATGTCACAACTGAGACACAACGCATCAGCACACACAGAAAGCTCGAGTTTTCTACCATACACACAGTCACAACTGACACATGTGTGCACCCCCCCCCCACGCAGAGATCGAATATTACACCCCCCCACCCCGCCCTTGCCTGTGTTCCCAGTCCAGCTATGACATGGGCTGTGTGGGGCCCAGGGTGGCGTGGCCGCCTGGCCCGTTATCTGGGGAGGCAGCGCCCGCCAGCCCCGTCTGCTTGTCTCTGGCTCTGAGCTTATTTTCCAGGAACCCAGCAGCCGCCAGAGTGTCACCCGCCCCCTGGATTTGGCCCCCGGCCAGAGCAGAATGTGTGAGGATGTACCAAAAAGGAGAACTGAGGGTGTGGGGGGCACTGCCTGTTGCTGCCAGCATGGGGGCTGGCAGGGGGCATCAGGGCAGGAGCTGTGGGGTCAGGGCAGGGCTGGCAGCAGAGAACCCAGGTGTCCGGGCAGAGAAGGTGGAGACACAGGGCAGGGCTCACTTAGGAGCCAGATGTGACCAACTGGGGAGGGGGAGGATTCCCAGAATGCACTGCTGCAGCGTGGATAAGGGGGGTGAGGAGCATTCCCAGCATGCACTGCTCCCCTTGGCATGGCAAGGCCTTAGGGCGCGGGGCTGGTCTTGGCTGGGGTGTCTCCTATGCCTCAGTTCCCGGGGCGTGCTCGACTCCCGCTACATCCCAGGTCCCGCCCCCCACTGCACCCCTTCCCCCACCCCTCCACCCCACCTCTTCCCACCCCTCCTCTGCCCCAGGCCCTGCTACTACTCTACCTCTTCCCCCACCCCCTCCCCACCTCTTCCCACCCCTCTCTGCGCCTCGCCCTGCCCCCACTGCACCCCTTCCCCCACACCCCCACCTCTTCCCACCCGTACTCCACCCCTTCTCCCAAGCCACAGTGGGTGGGAGGTGCTGGGAGTGAGGGGGAGGAGCTGATCTGTGGGGCTGCCGGTGGGTGCCGAACACCCACTATTTTTTTTTTTCAGATCTGGAAAGGGGAAGCCGGGTTGCTTCATCTTCTGGTGAAAAACTCCCCTGGCCCCAGAGCAGGGACCTCGGCTTCCACTTTCCAGATCTGAAACCGGAGCCCAGCCCATCCGCTGTGCCCAGGGAGAGAGACCCCTTGCTAGCGTTGCCAACTCTGGGAGGGGAGTAGGGTTGGTGGGTCAGAGTGGCGGGCTGGCAGCCAGGACTCCTGGGTTCTATTCCCAGCTCTGGGAGGGGAGTGGGATCTAGTGTTAGAGCAGGGGGGCTGGGAGCCAGGACTTCTGGGTTCTCTCCCCAGCTCTGGGAGGGGAATAGGGTATGGTGGTTAGAGCGGAGGGGCTGGGAGCCAGGACTCCTGGGTTCTATCCCCAGCTCTGAGAGGGGAGTGGGGTCTAGTGTTAGAGCAGGGGGGCTGGGAGCCAGGACTTCTGGGTTCTCTCCCTAGCTCTGGGAGGGGAATAGGGTATGGTGGTTAGAGCGGGGGGGCTGGCAGCCAGGACTCCTGGGTTCTATCCCCAGCTATCTCTCTGATTCACCATGTGACGGTGGATGAGTCTCGCCTGTTCTTTTCTCTGTAACAAACACCCCAGATGGCCACTGGGAGCGCCAGAGCCACAGCCCCGCCCACTAGAAGACATGGTGCCGCCCATGGGAGGAGCTTTCCAAGCCCCGCCCACTAAGTGGCAGGACTCCGCCCAGGGGTGGGGCTTGCAGAGCTCTACCCCACTGGCTGTTCCATCCAGGTGCCGCCCCCCCAGTGCTAAAGTCACACCCGCCGCCTTTGGTCATTCATAGAAACCCAAGCCACTTTGGCAGCTTTATTCGCCTTTTTTGGGAGAGGCTATTGCTGAGACGGCGGAAGGATACAAAGCTCAGGGAGAGGGCGGGGAAGTTCTGGCCTGTAACATAGAGCATGACTTTCAGGATGCTTATTGGAGGGACTATTTTTGCTGGCGTTCATCTGCCGGGGATAGGATACAAAGGAGATAAGGGGATGATCTCTACTTGTTTGGTGGACTGGACTACTTCTTTTGAGTGGAAGAAGACAGAAGGGGGCGTAATAAGGCCCAGCCCTTGTATTTAAAGGGCACAACTTTCCCATGTGCGTTTCAGGGACTATAGTTGTGGTGGAAGGCCACAAAACAGAGTGCAAGAAGATGACAAAGGAAGTAGTCCCGGTACCCGAATATGATGGAGCTTGATTTTCAGATTTTTTGAGGGGCTATTTTACCTTTTGTTGTTTGGCGGAAGGACACACACAAGTAATGGAGGAACGTCACAGGGCTTCTGTTCGAAAAGGGCCTGGTTTTCAGCTATTATTTTTTTGAGGGACTATTTTTTTGGCAGAAGGACACACAATCAGTATCTATTGAAAGTAGATCCGGTTCCTGTATAAAAAGGGTCCAGTTTTGAAGGACTACTTTTGTGGTGGAAGGATACTCGGTAGCTGTCCTTTGAAAGTAGAGCCGGCTCCTGTGTAAAGTGGGCTGGATTCCCAGAATTCTTTTTTTTTTTTTTGGACGGACTACATTAATTGGTGGAAGGATACACCAACCAATGGGGTGGTCAATGTAACAAAAGTAGATCTGAGCCTTCTGTATAAAAAGAGCCTGGTTTTAGGAATCACTCCACCCCGGTCTGAAAATCAGGCCCCAAAATGGTGGCCAGGTGGTGGTATCCATGGCAACTACCATGGCCACAGCCATGTAACAGCCCCGCCCACCCTGTGGGGTGGCAGCCAGTGAGTATCACTGAGTTCCTGCAGCATGGGGAAGGGGCGTGGCCTGTTATTGCTCCGGTGTGGCCAATGAGGGCAAGAGTTCCCAGCATGCTCCTCTGCAGTGTGACCCATAAGCTCCCAGCATGCACTGCTCTGGCATGGTTCATGGGCTCCCAGCATGCACTGTTCTGGCGAGACTCTGGGGTCCCAGCATGCACTGCTCCAGTGTGGCCCATGGGATCCCAGCATGCATTGCTCCGCCATGTCCCATGGGCTCCCAGGATGCACTGCTCCAGCACGGCCCTGGGCTCCCAGGATGCACTGATCTGGTGCGGCTTTGGGCTCCCAGCATGCCCTGCTCGGTGCCCTCCCACAGCTGCCCCCCACCCCTCATGGGGCCCTGGCCCCTTCCTCCTGCCCCGTCACGGCTGCATCATCCGCAGCTCGGAGGAGGTGGTGGAGCCCAGCGAGCGGTTGCTCCGGCGCCCGCTGCTGGAGCCCATCGAGTCTTCGGCCATGGCGGCCTCCAGCCAGCGGGCGCGGCTGCTGCCCCGCAGCCCCTCCTGGAAGCGGCGGCCCAGGAAGGCGTAGAGCAGGGGGTTGAGGAAGCAGCCCAGGCAGGTGAGGCTGAAGGCCAGGGAGGAGCCCACCTTGAAGGCTGCACGATTGCTCGGCGACCTGTGCAGGAAGTTGAAGACGTGGTAGGGCAGCCAGCAGAAGAAGAAACTCAACACCACGGCAGCTACCACCTTGGCCGTACGGTTGGGCCGGCGGCCTCGGTGCCCGGCCCGCAGCATCACGACCACGTGGCAGGCTGTGATGACCAGCAGCGGTGCCAGGAAGCCGGCCACGAACCGCACCACGATCAGGGCCTGCTGCCGCGCCATCCTCGTCACCTCGTCCCCGAAATTGTTGACGCAGAAGCAGCGCTTGCCCCGGCAGGTCACCTGAAGGAAGACCAGGTAGGGGGCCGAGAAAGCCCCGGCCAGCAGCCACGCCACGGCGGCCGCCCCCCAGGCCAAGCGCGGCGTGCGGAATCGCTGGGCCCAGACGGGCCGGGCCACCAGTAGGCTGCGATCGACCGAGATGAGCGTCAGCTGGAAGACGCTGGCGAACATGCTGAGGAAGAGGAGGGCACCGACGGCTTTGCAGAGGAAGTTGCCGAAGGCCCACTGATTGCTCGCGGCGGTCTTGGCGGCGTAGAAAGGCAGCAGCAGGGAGTAGAGCAGGTCGGCCAGCGCCAGGCTCAGGAACCAGATCGAGTTGACCGTCCGGCGCATGCGGAAGCAGGTGACCCAGATCACCAGCCCGTTGCCCACCATGCCCAGCAGGAAGGAGACCACGAAGATGGCCACCGAGATATGGGCGAGGACGTTGGAGGTGGGCGTGGTGCTGTTGTTGGCCACGGGTGAGGTGGCGTTGCTGGAAAGCTGAGGAGAAATGACCGCTTTAGCACGTGGCCCGGCCGGTGCCCCTCACTCCCAACTAGGACTGCCAGGCGTCCGGTTTTCTCCCTGCCTGCCCCAGTGCTGCACAGCTCCCGGAAGTGATCTCCATATCCGGCTCCTCGGCGCAGGGGCTGCCAGAGAGGCTCTGCACACTGCCCCTGCCCCGAACGCCGGCTCTGCAGCTCCCATTGGCCGGGAACTGTGGCCAATGGGATCTGCGGGGGTGGTGCCTGCAGGAAACGCAGCCAGTGGGATCTGCGGGGGCAGTGCCTGCAGGAACCACGTCCAACGGGAGCTGCGGGGGAGGTGCCTGTGGGAGTGGGCAGTGCACACCGCACAGAGCCGCCTGGCCGCCCCTGTGCCTAGGAGCCGGACATGGCGGCCTCTTCCCGGAGCAGCGCGGAGCCGGGGCAGGCAAGGAGCCTGGCTTAGCCTAGCTGCGCTGCCTGAGGTAAGTGCTGCCCGGTCGGATCCCACACCCCAAACTCCTGCCCCAGGTGGGAACCCCATCCTGCACCCTAACTCCCTCCTGCAACCTGAACCCCTCCGCCCCACAGCCCTGAGCTGCCTCCTGCACCCTAATTCCCTCCTGAAACCTGCACCCCCCACACATGCCACCCCCAGCCCTGAGCCCCCTCCTGTCACCCTAACTCCCTCCTGAAACCTGCACCCCCCACACATGCCATCCCCAGCCCTGAGCCCCCTCCGGTACCCTAACTCCCTCCTGAAACCTGTACCCCCTCCCCACACGCCATCCCCAGCCCTGAGCCCCCTCCCGCACCCTAACTCCCTCCTGGGGCCCGCACTCCCTTCCGCACCCCAGCCCTGAGCCTCCTCTTGGAGTCCACAGCCAAACTCCCTCCTGCAACCTGCACCCCCCGCACACCCACCCCCAGCCCTGAGCCTCCTCCCGCAACCTAACTCCCTCCTGCAACCTGCACCCTCCGCACACCCACCCCCAGCTCTGAGCCCCCTCCCGCACCCTAACTCCCTCCTGCAACCTGCACCCCCCGCACACCCACCCCCAGCTCTGAGCCCCCTCCCGCACCCTAACTCCCTCCTGCAACCTGCACCCCC